CATTGAAAATTTTATTTTCTCTTTTCATTCCATTTTTCACAGCGCAATTTTGAAGCCCCAGCTAACAGAGGGAGGGAGTGCAGAGACAGGGAGACCCTTCCTGTGTTCTCGGATAAGCACTGCCCCTCCCTCCCCCCCTTCTCCTTTCTCAGTGCCTGCTCATCCGGCCCCATCCACCACCACCACTTCCTCTCACTGTACAAGGCCTGACAATCCATCTGGCAGGTTGATGTCTTAAGTCTTATTTTTTTAACAGTCCTTACCCGCCGAGCCTCCCCTTTCCCCTGACGGGCTGTTGACTTCTTAGTAGCAGGCCCCTGAGCAGTAGACTGCCCAAAGGGGCCCCCTTCTGGCTCTGGCCACCTGCATCCTCATGGGGGTGGCAGTGGGTTCTGCTGACTGGGCCACAGTGGGTTAGATGTTGGGCTGCTTAACACCAGGTTAGGGGTTCAATCTCACCAGCTGCAATTTGGATGAAAAACGAGGCTGGCTGCTCCAGTAAACAGTTCTCTGTCCTCCTGGGAGACTGTGCGTCGGAACTGACTCAGTGGCTGTGGGTTTGGTTTCTTTTATTGACGAGGCTTCAGGAGCAGGAGCAAGACCTGGTGCCTGGGTCAGCTGTGTAGGCAGAAGGCCTCCGCAGGTGGTGAGGGCAGGTCCTGAGGCGCCACGGGCTCAGCTGCCCATGTTGAGCTGGTGCTGGACCAGGTGGCCCTGCAGGCCCTCCCTCATGCCCTTGGCGTCCAGGTTGAGAGCCGCGAGCCACAGGCTGCGGCGGGCGCTCTGTGGAGCTCCGGAAGCAGATGCAGGACTCCCACTCTGTCAGGCCTGGGCCTGTCGCCTTAGGCACCAGGTCCACTGTTTCCAGTCATCTTAAGTGGCTGCTGTGGGCATCCCCTCAAAACAAAAAACCACCATCCTCAGTGCCATCGAGTCAATTCTGACTCGGCAGCCTTACAGGAAAATAGAACTGCCCCTATGGGTTGCTGAGACTAACTCTCTATGGGAGCAGAGAGCCTCGTCTTTCTCCAGAGGAGCGGTTGGTGGTTTCAAACTGCTGGCCTTGTAGTTCGCAGTGCCACGCATCACACTATGCAGCAGGCTCTGCTGTGCCCTGGGGCAGGGCCCTGAGGACGACACAGGGAATGCTTGGGGGTCTCTTGCAGATGCTCTTCTTGGTTTTCTTGCTTTTGTGTTTGTTTTAAACCTGTTAAAAATGTACGAGTCCACACTTAGCTCGTAAAAAATAACCAAACCAGAGCCGTGGCCATAGAGTTGACCCCTAGATAGAGAGCTGCTCCACAGGGTTTCCGGGGCTGTCTGTCTTTATGGGAAAAGACAGCCTCTTCTTGGTCCCTTAGAGTGGCTGGCGGGTTCGAACTGCTGCCGGATGGTTAGCTGCCCAGTGCGTAACCCTCGGTGTGGTCAGTGACTATCCATTGCTGTCCTCAGGGTGGTACCGGAGGGGTCATGAGCCTCGGTCTCTCATCCAGTGCCGGCTCTCCCCCTGCAGACCCAGCTTGACCAGCAGGAACTCCTCTGCGGCCAGATCGCAGGTGTCGTGCACTGCATCGCCGCCCTGGCCGGCTCTCCCCCTGCTGTTATCCGGCTGCGGAAGCTGAAGTTTGCTGTGAGGGTCGATGGCGATTACCTCTGGGTGAGTACACCGGGCCCTGTGGCTGCAGGGCCGCCTTCTACCAGGGATTAGTCAGCCCAGCTTATAAAGGATCGCTTCCTGGAGTCGGGCTGGCATCCTTGGACACCAGTGGGCAGTATCAGGAGTGTCCCCGCTCCAGCTGCCCCCCAGGATGGAGTACCCTCCACAGTGCTGCTCCCTGCAGTCAAGTTGACCCAACCCATGATCCCCTAGTGTGCAGTGTCAGCAATGTGTCCCCAAGCACACAGAGTCAGTGCCCCTCAACGCTGAAAACAGTGCTCCAAGATGCTCCCACATATCCCAGTTGCTCTGCTTCTGGCTGGAGCCTCCTCTTAAAAACACACACACACACACACACACACACCCCATACACACACACACCCATACATACCACCACCACCGCCCCCGAAACTGACTTAGAGAAGGATATGGCAGGAGACAGAAGCTTCCCCTTCGGGATGGTTTGCTTCCCTAAGCTGTGGGGTTGTGTAGCGGTGCCTGCTGACTCACGGCTGTGTTGGTCTCAGAAACCGATGTCCTTGACTGGATTCTGGTTGGGTTTCTGGATCCATGAGGCCTTTTGTGTTTACAGTGGGCACCTGTGTGTTTACAGAAAGGCCCGCGGGTTGGGGTGGGATGAGCCTGTGAGCGCCGCGAGCTGTGAGTGCACGTTCTCAGGGATTTGTGTATTTTTTTTGGTCAAGTTTTTCTTGCTTTGCTTACGTTTTTGATGGTTCCCTGAGCATGTGGAGAAAATTACCACCCATGTCCTATGTGGCAGAGTGTAAGCCATTTCAGCTCCTCCAAGACATGGCTGAATGGCTTCCGAGCCCGACAGCTGCCCCTTGGCCCAGCACCGAGCCCTCAACCCCACTCTGGCCTTGGAGCTGGGCTTTGTGAGGCAGTCCCAGCCTCTGCCCGTGGGGAACCAGGTGACTCCCCGCCCCGTGTCTTTCACGGAACCACGCTCAGTATTCTGTGTCCCAGTGACGACCCTGACAGCACAGGGGGTCAGAGGGGAGGCTGCCCTGCCTGAAGGACTGGAAGGAGGGCCGCCCTCACTGAGGTACAACAGCAATTGCCCGGACACGAAGCCAGTGTGACTAGGGTGGGGTGGAGATGCACTTTTTAACGGCTGGTGATCGAGAGCCTGGCTGCTGGGACCCCGGCGGGGGTGGAGAGGGCACTAGAGCCGGCCTGCCTGTTTCCCCTGGCAGGTGCTGGGCTGTGCAGTGGAGCTCCCAGATGTCAGCTGCCGACAGCTTCTGGATCAGCTCATTGGCGTCTTTCGCTTTTACTGCGGCCCTGTTCCTCTGGCTTACCAGGTAGGAGCTGAGATGCACACAGCTGTCACTTCCTTCCCAGAAACACATGACCAGGCCCTCCTCCTCCTGGGCGCACAGAGAGAGCTGCCCCTGGCCAGTCCCCATGGGAGAAAGTGCCCGTGTCTCTTTTCCAGAGCTGTCCCCAGGGAGAGCTGAGCGCGCAGTGGGACTCCTTCATCGCGAGAGTCCTGGCGAACACCAGCGATCTGCACAAGCTTGTCAGCGCTCTCTGGACCGTGGACAGGACGAAGGTAACACCCCACCCCCACCGACCCCCGCCCCGGGCTCGGTTGCATGCTTAGCAAGGATTCCTCCACCACTTTTTCCTCCAAAGACCTCTCTCTGGAGACGTGAATGGCAGATGCCATTTCTCAGTGAGGGGCCTGGCTACAGCCTGCGTTCAGGCCCCTCTCTCCTCCTCACCTGCACAGGTGGAGCCCCTGCTGTTGCTGAAAGCTGCTCTCATCCTGCAGACCTGCCAGCGCTCTCCACACGTCCTTGCAGGCTGCATCCTCTACAAGGGCCTGTGAGTAGCGCCCCTCCCCCCTCGCCCTGCACCCTTGCCACTGCTCCACATCCCCCACCACCCTGACATCCTAGGCCAGGGCCCTTCTCTCACAATTCTGAGGGGTTGGCGCTGCCAAAATCTGACCATTTTGGTTGGGTAGGAGCGTTGGTGGTGCCATGGGTTAAGAGTAGAGCCGCTAACCTCAAGGTCAGTGGCTCAAACCCCCCAGCTCTTCCTCAGGAGAAAGATAGGGCTGTTGGTTCCCCTAACTATTGACAGCCTCAGAAAGCCTAGGGAGGTGTGCTGCTCTGCCTGTCCTAGAGAGCCGACCGACTCGGTGGCAGTGTCTTGGCCTTTAGGTCTCTGGGGCTTCAGGCCCATCTTTCAACAAACCTGAAAATCGAGACGCTTGTGTTCAGCAGATGAGCATGTCAGAGGCAGCCTTAAAGAGTGCCCTGGGGCTTTCAAAATAGAGGCAGGTCCTCACTCCATTTCCCATGAGTGGTCAGCAGAGGCCAGCAGGGCTTGAATGAACGCCCCAGCATTGTCTGCAGCCCGTAGGTGAGGCAGAGGGGGCACCCTCCTGCTTCTCAGTGGTCTAGGCATGTCGACTGTGGCTCAGCCCCTCAGAGCATGGTGCAGGCCTTCACCCAGGCTCCTTGTTCCCGCCTATCAGCTATGGCTTATCTGGCTAGCCTCTTGCATGCCCTGTACCCCTTCACTGCCTGCTGGGCTGGCTGCCCTGTGAGGTGGAGCACTTAGGGCCACTCCATCACTCCAGGCAAAGCTTCCTGAGGACCAGGCACAGGTGCCCCTGAGTCTCCCCACTGGGGAAATTGTGCTCTGTCTCTCCTGCCAGCTGTCAGCCCTTGAGCAAGTTGCTTAACCTCCATGTGGGATGGCTGTAGACGGCCCTAGTGCACAGTGGTCCTCCTGTACTTTACTGACACCCCTCATCCTGTGTCCCAGGTTTATTCTAATGCTCCGTGTCATCCTCACTAGGGACACAGCCTTCAGAGGTCACACCATTCCCTGGGTGACAGGAGAGGCTGGACATTCATTTCTACCCTGGCCTGGCCACCTCCTCCCCAAAGTCAGTCAGTCAGAAGCCCGACACAGCCAGGACGCCACCTGGTCTTGCGGTAGTCTCGGGGCGCGCCGGCGTTTCTCCCTGTAGTGCACAGGGTCACTGTGGTCCGCACCAACGGGGCAGCACCCACCAACAGCACCAGCAGCAGTATGGAGCCAGTTTTCCCCCAGTGGGTGCCCGTGAGGGAGCACTGACTGCTCAGCAGCTGGGTCGGACCATGTGGTTGTCCAGTCTACAAGTTGGGCAAAAAGGCCGCCAGTAGAGCATTCACAGCGCTTCCCTGGCCCACCCTCCCTTCCTCTCTGCCCCTCTCCCTCCCAGCACCCCCCGCCCCATTATTAGCAGTTGGGGAGCACCTTCCCCTACTCCCTCTGTTTTTACCAGGGCTTCCTGCCTCTTCAGTCAGGGCTGGTGCAGAGAAATCAGAACAGCCTCAAATCATTAGCATCTGGGTAAAGTGAACCAAAGGCCAGAATGGGGAACATCACGCCGAGTGGGAGGGTCTGCGAGGTGCTGTGGGCCCTTTCAGGAGCCTGACGTGGGAGATGGGATTACCGCCTGGCCCGAGGGTAGCAGCGCACACTCACAGCCCTGTCTGGTGCCATCTCTGAACCAGCAGTGTTGGTCAAGAGTGGCTTGCTGTTTCTGTGCGCGCTGCCCTTGGTGTCTGAGAGGGAAGTGATGTTTCTAGCTGGACCTCTGTGGTCTCCCCTTCTGGGTCACGCACATTCGACAGGCCTCACCTCCTCTTCCGTGACTGAGCCGAGACGTGGTCTCGAGTCCTGGTGTTCAGCGCAGCTGGGCATATGCGAGTCTGTTGCTTCCACTGCTCGCAGACATGGCTGAGCTGGAAGAGATGCCCTCATGAGGCTGTATTTCAATACAAAATCCATCTGCCGTTGAGGGGTCTGCCTCAGTCAGAGTAGGATCGCACGAAGGTTTTCAGCGGCGCTGCCTTGAGCAGGGGTGTCGCCAGGCCTTTCTTCCTGGTGCCTTTTGGTGGATTGGAACTTCGACCTCCCTCGTGTTCCCAGCGAGCACTTAGCCCAGCGTGCCGTCCAGAGCGACCACGTTCACTTGTGAAGTGGCCTCATGATTTCCTTTGATTCGCTTTTGACTTTCTTGGTGGCAGCAGACGCCTGCTGTCTGCCGGCTTCTGATGATGCCGGGATCTGTCACGGATCTCGAGGTGGCGGCTGGAGGCCTGTGGTGTTATGGTCAGGTTATAGCCACTGAGAGTCCCCCCACCGTGGGGCGATCAGGACCTGGGAGAGCTCGGGGTGGCTGGCGCATCTCTGCTCACTGTGGTTCTTGTCTCTGTGTCTCCCCTCGTAGGGTTGTGAGCACCCAGCTCCCGCCGTCCCTCACGGCCAAGATCCTGCTGCAGCCGGTGGTGCCCCGAGACCAGGTACTATGAAGGCCAGGCCTCCAGAGGTGCCCTGATGTGATGCCCCAGCAGGCATCTCTGGGCAGGGGCGGGGGGGAGTAGCAGGAAGGCCCTGGGTATTATGGACTCTGGGGGCGGGGCCTTCCTGCTTTTATCCCGCTCTTGGATCCCAGCCACATCTGCCCGGGGCTGGCCACTGTGTCCTCACGTGGCCAGCATCCCGCCTCCCCCGCCCCTCCCCGGAGTCTGCGTCTCTGTAGGATCCACCCGACTGCCAGCTGCTCCGTCGAATGGTGACATCTTCAGAGGCTTCCCTTCCCAGGTCTCCTTGGTGGGGACCAGACTGGCTGGGGCCAGCAGCGTAGCTGCAACCCGAGGCTGTTCAGTCAGCTGTAGGCTCTGCCACAGGGGAGGTCCAGCAGGCAGGCCTCAAATGATAAGTGGACATGGAGGTAGCCACAGGAGCCCATGTCATTCATGTGTGTGCTCATGGTGGGGGGTGGCTCTGAAGCTGCCCGATGAGCCTCTTTTCCCCAGCCCCCCAGGCAGGTCCTGATGGCGGTGCTTCCTCACGCCCATCAGGCCGAGCAGCAGGCTGTACAAGACCGGCCTACAGAAGCACCTAGGGGCACCGAGATGGGTGGAGCTGCTTTTCTGAGCAGTTGATCTCACTGCTGTCAAGTAGGAGAAGGGAGTGAGGCAGCCTACAGTGCGGCTGCTTGTGTGACAGTCTGGCACCTGGCCTGTCCCTGCCTTCCTTCCCGTGAGCCATCTGTGTGCCAGGCTGTCTGCCACACTCGGCGCGTTCACCGACATGGAGAGGCAGTGGCAGGTAGAACCTTCCTCCTGGTAGATGTGTGGAAAATAAGACAGTCCTGCCCTTTGTTCCTCAGGCTCTGTCCTGAAGAAGTGCTCTCCGGGAGAGAAGTCCTCACCACACACACTCAATGCTTTGTCACCACAGGGCTCACCCGAGGCAGGACTCGGCCCTCAGCCTGGGCTGCTGGCCCACCACCTGCCCTCCTCCTGCCCCTGGCAGCTCAGGCTTCAGAGCCTGCCCTCCTGCAGCATTTGCTCTCCCTCCTGCCCCTCACAGAGAGTGTTGGCCACTCCCTGGAGATGACCCCTTCTCCCATGTGTTAGACCAGGTTGACTGGAGAAACAAATCTAAGGACATTCATATATGTATAAGAAAGAACTTTATACCAAAGAGTAGTTGTATATTAAGAAGACATCCCAGCCCAGCCCAGATTCAGTCCCTAAGTTCGATCTTAGCCCATAAATCTGATCCTGGTCCATAAGTCCCTCGTCAGACTCACTGTCGCATGCAGTGATGCAGAAGGCATGAAGTTCACAGGCATGTACAATGTCTTGTGGATCCAATGGCAGTGGACACATCTCCAGGGCTCTGGCTACCATCAGCCTGGCTCCATGTGGCTTGTCAACAGGACGGTGTAGCAGAAAATTACAGGCTTTCATTGAGCCACGGGTGCACGTGACTAGCAGAATTGTCCATCATGTGGTCTCAGAAGGGTCCATGAGGTAGATTTAAAGAAGGTGCCTCTGACATGGCCAGTGTCTGCTAGGGGCAAGAGTGGCATGTGGGTAGCACACGGAGCCCCCAGATAGCATGCGGGAACATCCTGGTCACTTCTGGTTCCATTTTCCACCTGCTTTTGGAAGCGCTTTGGATATACGTGTGTGTGTCATCTCTGCCCACGAGATGGTGACCGCCACGGCTGAAACAGAGCATGGAGGCGCAGCCAGCGGTGCTTCACTCTGCTGTGCGCCGGTCACTGAGTCAGCCGACTCGGGGGCACCTCACAGCCGCAAGTACGGCAAGGAGAAGCACACGGGTGTGGGTAGAGAATGAGAATCCTGGCATGCCGTGTACTCTTGGCCAATGTTTATTACACACACACACCCATAAAGAAGTAAATATTAACCCAGAATAAGCAAATAAACTTGACATTTGGCTTTAATGATCTAAAACATCATTTTTTTAAAACTCCCAGAAAGGAAAGCCGTGTCGTTTTAGTTTGTCTGCCTGTTGCTTGGTTGGGGCAAGTTCTGTGGACCCTTGGTGGCGCCTTGAGTTAGGCATTGGGTTGTTGACGACCAGCTGCTTCTCAGGACCAAGATGAGGCTGTCTGTTCCTGGCAGCGCTACTGCCACAATGGCGTGCCTGGCCCCATGGTGGGCCCTGGGGCCCAGGGAGGTGGGACACATGGCCCTGTCCCCCTGGGGTTGGCAGAGGAAATGGCCTGTCCTGCACATCAGCCTGTGCTCTTTGATGCTATGTCGTCGTCGATGCTGGGTGCTGATGATGACGCCCAGCAGGCCCTGTACAGGCTTCTTGGCCATCGTCCTATGGAGCAGGTCGCCGGGCCTTTCTCCCGCAGTGCACAGCCATGCTCCCTGGGTCTCTCTTGCGGAGCACCCCGTGGTTCACGGCCTGGCGCCCCAAGTCTCTCCTCTGCGATGCACTGCTGGTTCGAGGCCTTGCTGCCAAAGTGGAGTTTGTAATGAGCGGCGGGGGTCACTGACAGCAGCTCCCTCTCAACGTGGCCCCCTGTGAGTGGGAGTGTCGGGGTGGGGTTGGGGGGGTGGGGCATCGCAGTGGCTTGATGAAAATAGGGACCTGGCTGCTGGTTTTCCTTTCCCAGAGCCAGCTGGTGGGGGAGTCTGGAGTCCCGCTGATCCAGACACGGTGCTGGCCTTGCACCTAACTGTCCTGTGGATTAGAGGAGCCGGGGCACAGGCGCCTGTCCCCGTCCAGGCTTTTTTCTGCCATAGCTGTGGCGGGTCCCTTGTTGCTGGATTGGCCGATGTAGGGGGGTGGTGGGGACTGGAGGCCCTTCAGCCTGAGATGAAGAGCGCTCTGGGCCAGGGCCGTGGTGGGCAGGGCTGGATGCCAGCTTGGGATTCTCCATGGTGAAGCAGGTAACGAGACCAGAGACAGAGTGAGTCTCATGCGCAAGCTGGCTGACAGCATGTCGGGTGGAGCTGCCCCTGGTGAGGGCAGCTGGTGAGTGCCCCGGCAGACACCAGACCCTGTGGGGCAGACACGGAGCAAGCAGCTTGCGGCAGCTTCTGCTCCATCTGCTTTGCCCCTGGCCTGGCTCGGGGTCACACCGGCTGGAACTGGTTCTGTTTGCTGAGCAGATGGCCCAGAGCTTGGAGGGTGGGGTCAAGAGGGGCACGTGGTACCCAGTGCCAACTGACTGCTTCTGTGTTCATTCTGCAGGGGTCCCCTCCGGCTGTGGCTGCCCTGCAGGGGAGTGGTAAGTAGCACCTTGTGGCAACCTAAGAACTGCGGTCTGGCAGGGGACCTTCCCGCGCACAGCACCCGGAAGCCCAGAGCCCCTCATGTGTCCATCAGATCAGGCAAATGCAGAGTCTCACAGCTGCAGGACAACTCCCCTTGAAAGCCCAGAGTGCATTAGAAGGCTCATTCCGTCAAACCAGCCTTCTCAGATCCCTGCTCTCAGGTCCCCAAAGCTGCAGGACCACAGTGGCCCCTCCAAACCCCACGTGGTAGGCCCTTCCTGTCAGCCCAGCCTTCTCAGATCCCTGCTTGTAGCTCCTCCGTGACTCGGAAGAGGAGTGCCCTGGTGCCACAGCGCAGCACTGGAAGCGCTCAACAGTGCCACCCCCCAGCTGTTCTCCTGGAGAAAGACCTGCTTCTATCCAGAGATCCAGCCTGGGGGAGGTCCTAGGGGCAGTTCTGTCTGAAGTGGTCACGAGAGTCAGTCGGAAGGGAGTCCTTAGCAGGAGGTCATGCTTTATTTGGTTGTTTGGGTTTGGGTTTTTGGTAGGCCTGTAAGAGAGAGCCTTGGCGGCATAGTGAGGTAAGCATTGGGCTGCTAATGGAGAGCTCGGGGGTCCACTGGAGAAAGAAGTGGCCGTCTGGTCCCAGGCCATTTAGCAGCCTTCCTGGGGCGGCTCTCAGTCCTCCAGGCTCACTGTCGGGCAGAGCCAACTGCAGGGCTGCTGTTGGGAGTTTGGGTGTTTCTTTTTTTTTTAACATTTTATTAGGGGCTCATACAACTGTTATCCCAATCCATACACACATCAATTGTGTAAAGCGCATTTGTACATTGTTTCTCAAAACATTTTCTCTCTACTTAAACCCCCGACATTAGGTCCTCATTTTTCCCCTCCCTCCCCGCTCCCCCCGGGAGTTTGGGTGTTTCACTTGGGTCTCAGGGACCTCTGGACTGGTCCTCCCAGGGTGCTGTGGATTGGGGAGGCCTGGGGAGACCCGCAGAGGGGCGGAGGGTTCTGAGAGAACAGCTCTGTTTTGTTTGGGAGTAGGAGTTGGGGAAATGCCTTTTGTCCATTGACACTGCTTTGTCCCAGTTCCTGTCTCTTTCTGCTGTGCAGGGCCATGGCCCTCCTCCTAGCAGGCCTTGCCCTCCTCCGCAGCCAAGGGCGATGGCCAGGTGGTCTCTCAGGGTGTCAGTGCTGTGGCTCCACTCTGGGCTGTGCACTCCGCCTGCTGCAGTCTGAGCTGTCGAGGGATGGAAGGGTTCATTATCCTTGGTCTTCTCTGCCCAAGGTGAGCCCTCCTTGCTTTTTGCTCTGCATTCCAGGGGCTGCACTCCCCCCGAATGTGCAGGTGGTGCCCGTGTTTGTGACACCAGAGGAAGCCCGCCGTCTCCGTGAGTTCCCCATGGCACAGACGACCAGGTAAGCCTATACACAGGTGTCCCATCTGCAGCCGGGTTTAGGGATCCCTACCCCCCACCAAGTCAGGGGCCTGGGAGGCAAGGGGTTGCCACAGGGTTGGCCACTCAGACCCACCTCTCGTGGAGAAAGCCATTTGCTCTGTCTTGGAGGACTGTTATGTGTGGGACTGGCTCCGTGGCCATGGCTTTGGTTTAGGCTGGGCCCTTGGAGTTCATCCTAGCCGGCCCGTGCCGCCTTCCCCTTGTTCTCCACCTGCCCCAGTGCTTGGCCTGAGCAGAGAGCACTGGAAAGCCAGCCTGGTGACATGAGCTGAGAGAGGGCCCTTGGCCCAGATCTGTGTTGGGGGCACTCCTACTTGCCTGCCTCTGCTTCAGTCCTCTTATTTGTACGAAACTCCACTCCCTGCCATCAAGTCAATGCTGACTCATAGCAACCCTTTAGGGCAGGGTAGAACTGTCCCTGTGGGTTTCTGAAACTAACTCTTCATGGGACTGGAAAGCCTCCTCTTTCTCCTGAGGAGTTACTGATGGTTTTGAACTGCCGGCCTTGCAGCTAGCAGAGCACCGGGTTACCACGGTTTCTGCTATCTGTAGGGTGGACCTCCTGGGTTAATTGTAGGAGGCAGGGTGGACCGGTGATTAGTTAAGAGACTCGGCTGCTAATGAAAGGTCGGTGTGGAGAAAGTGAGGCCGCCTGCTCCTGGAAACACTGGCGGTCTCGGAAACTCCAGGGGAAGTTGTCTGTCCTGTAGGACCCAGTAAGTTGAAGCTGACCAGCTGACCAGCCTGGGTGTGTTCATTGTACAAACTGGGAAGAGCGTGTTAGGGCCTTGGGCACCGGGCCAGCTCCCCACAGCCCCTCCAGAGGTTGGTGGCCCTACCCAGTGAGCGGAGCTGTGCAGGCAGTGACCTTGGAGTCCCTGTGTGGAGCCCTAGGAAGCCAGGCGTGGCCTTATTTCACCCCAGCTGGTATCCCAGATGCCTGTCCTTCGGTCTGGCACTGCCTGGTACTCAGGGCAAGCGCCCCCTTCATGCCTGCCTTATCTTCCAGCTCTCCCATCTTGCCAGCCAGACTCCAGAGCAGCCGGGCGCCACATCTTCTGAGAGCCTGCAGTACGTCGGCACTGAATGAAGTCACCACTGGGCATGTGGGTTCCTTGCGACTGGCAGGGGCCGTGGGGCATGAGAGGCGGCACAGCACTGCCCGTCCCCCACGCCCTGGCCGCTCCCCAGCCAAGGATGCAGGCCTTTCCCGAGAGCAGCTCGACCTATCTGCGCTCCACATTCCAGAAACACCCTCAGGTCCTGTTGCCCCCACGCACCCGTCAGCCCTGGACCAGGAATCCGTCGGCCACCTGAGAGACCCCGAGCCTCCTGGGAACTTACCCACTGACCTAGCCCCAGTGGCCCCCGCCCTGCCTCCCCTCCTGGTGCCCACCCAGAATGGAGCCCTGGGGCAGCAGGAAGACCATCTTGGTGACAGCCACGCACTCACCCCTGGAAATGACCCTCTGTCCCCTGGAAGGACCTGCAGCCCACCACAGTCTCCACTCAGCTCCGTCTCTGAACAGACAGGAATGGAGACCTCTGGGCATCCGCAAGGCTTGGGCCTGTGTGCAGATGGGGTCCATGCAGTACACAGAACGGATGTGCTAGAGGCGGGGCTGAGCCAGGGACTCCTGAGGCTAAACCTGTACACACACAGTGTCCAGGGCTTGGTGCTGGCCCTGCTGGCCGAGGAGCCACTGCTGGGGGACCGCCCAGCCATCGAGGAGGTGGTGAGTGGCCCAGCGCCCCAGCCCTCCCCTGCCTAGCAGACTGGATGGGGGTGGGGGGAGTTGGCTGGATAGGACCTGGCCGTTAGCTGGGCCCTTGGGGTCCATAGGGATCACAAGTGCTTCCCTTGGGGTGTCTGAGGGGAGTGTGTCATCCAGCACCTGATGCAAAGGTGTCCACGGCGAGCTGGGGTCCCAGGGCCCTACAGAGGCTGTGACCCCATCAGTTGCGTGTGGACACATGGTGCGGCCACAGGCCTGGCCATGGTCTCCATGTTCCAGCCACTGCTAGTAACCAGCTCCAGCCAGGAGCTCTGGCCTCTGACCACTTGCACTGAAAGTGCTGAGGAGGTCACAGTGACACCGACTGTCACCCTCCTCTCCACAGACCACTGCAACTCCCTTACTGTCCCCCTCACAGCCCACAGAGACACCGGAAGGCCTTCATGCCTTCCAGGAAGCAGCCTACATCACTACTTGCCCCTTCCCCACTCAGAACAGTAAACTGACCTTCTGGAAGCTCTGTTGCTATAGCAACAGCTTGACGTTAGTTGGCAGGAAGCAGAGCAGGTCAGGATTGCTGTAGGGCAACAGGTGGGTGTCCTGGGGTTTGCTGAGTTCTCACTTGTAAATCCTGAAGGTTCTTTACCTGTCTTATTAGTATGCAGGGCTGGGGACCCTCCTGCCTTGAACACTTGACCTTGAATCATCATTGAGAAGGGGAGGCCGCCCAGCAGCCTCCTGAGCTCCCCTGCCCCTTCCAGTGCTCCCAGCCACAGACCCCAGCGCATCTGCTATGGCTCCTCTTCCCCCTCCCCCTCACTCCCCACAGCCTGAGGCTCCTGCTGGTGGCTGCACGGAAGGGGCCCTGGTAGTGCAGAAGGTTCAGCTGTGGGCTGTTCACTTAGAGGTTGGAAGTTCAGACCCCCCAGCCTCTGGGACAGGTAGGAATCAACCCAGCGGAAGTGGGGTTTTGGGTCTGGTTGCTCTCTTCAGAGGGGAAGAGAAAGCAAGGGTGGAGCACTGCTTCGGCTCTGTGCCTCGGGCTTTGCTCTGCTGCTTTAGGCAAGCCCTAGAGCAGCCCCCGTTTGACTCAGCAGGAAATTCAGTGGGGTAAGAAAACGGAAGCTCGTTGGTGCAGGTGGTAGGTCAGATTTGTGTTTGTTTCTTCCTTACATGCTCTCCCTTGCAGTGGTGAAGTCAGAGGTTCGTTTGGTCCTGTCTTCTGTGGCTCCTTACTGCATCTCCATACCATTTCCTTTGTGTCCCGCGGGGGGTGGCGGGTAGAGGTGGTAGTGGTTAGTAGCCATTAAGCCAAATCCAAGTCCTGGCTACCTTGGGTAGATTCGATTCTGACTTCCTGAGACCCTGTATGACAGTGCGGAACTGCCCCTGTGGGGCTCTGTGAGCCTATGGGAGTAGAGAGCCTCCTTTCTCTGAGGAGTGCCTGGCAGTTTCGAACTGCTGACCCTGTGGTTAAAGCATAGTTTTAGGGAAGAAGAACCCATTGTCTTTTCTAGCCAGAGGAGGGGTCCCCAACTCTGGTCAGCCACCTCGTTTTAGAGCTGACTTGTTCATCAGATGCAACAGCCGTCTTTTATCATCCAGAGAAACCATTCATAGCCTGATGCCACGGACTTGTCTGTAACATACTTGACCGTGTTTCCCCCCGACCCTCTGTGGTTTTCAAGAAGCTCCCCAGTGCTCACAGAGTGGTACCTACAGTTCAGGTGAGCCATGAGGTTCCTACATGCCAACATCTAAGTGGGGCACCCCCCTGGTCTTGGGCCAGGGCAGCAGCTGGGCTGCTCCGGAGCAGCAGCCGAGCTCCCACCAGGGGGCAGCAGAGAGCCACCGATGGTGCCTGCTGGCAGCAGCCTGGAGACCACCGCCATCCATGTCAGTGTGAGTGAGCACCCTCTTAAATTGCAAGCACCCCCCCCCGCACCCCCCACACCCCATCCTTGGGAAACTTGCCCTTCTAAGTGAATGTGAATTCCAAGGGCATGTTTCCTCTGCATATTATGGCCCAGACAGCACTCTAGCCCTTTGTTTGAGGAAGTCTATGAATTGTTCCAGCTGATTGGAGCCCTGGTGGCATAGTGGGTTACACTTACCCCAGCCCCCCTCCAGGGAAAGACGATACTGCCTGCACCCGTAAAGATTGACAGCTTCGGAAACCCACAGGGCCAGGCCTACGTTGTCCTATAGGGTCATCATGAGTCAGAATGGATTGGATGGCAGTGCATTTGGTGTAATTGGTTCATTGGAGGGAAAGCCAGCAATTGCAGGTTTGGAATGGACACTGGGGCAGCTGGGCGGGAAAGGGCGTGCCCACCAGCTCTTCGGGGCTGAGGTCTTCCACAGAACCCCTGAGCAAGCTCGAGACCAAGCCTGTCACTGCTACGCCACCTAAAGGGGGGCTCACACTCTGGAGGAGTACGGTTGAGAGAGGGGCCCTGGTGGCAGGTGGGTTACAGGTCCGGTTGTTAATTGCCAGGTCCACTTCCATAAGAATTTAGAGCTCAGAACCCCAGAGGCAGGTCTGCTCTGTCCTCTAGAGTGGCCGGGAGTCCAGTTGACTCGATGGCACCGGAGTCTGGGTCTTTGGTGTATGTAATAGTGACAAACTGGTAAACTGCCTGTACCATTCAACTTCACACGACTGCCAGGCTCAAAGGAGCCCCGGGGGGGCAGTAACCAACAGCAGTGGCCTCCTGCGTTCCACTCACTGTGGAAGCATGAGCATGGAAATTGGACTTGAAGATAATTTTCATGTGTCACAAAACCTTTTGATTTTATTCCCTAACCACTAAAAATGTGAAAACGATGCTTAGGGCACAGGCCATACAAAAACATGTGACAGGGTGGCTTTGGCCTGTAGGCCGGAGTTTGCTGAACCCCAGGGGACCGGGGGGCTTCAAAAAGTTTGTGGAAATTTTTCCCAGTAACTTTTTAAAGCCCCCTGGCATATGGCTTGGTGGGTTACCCACTGGGCTATTTGCCACAAAGTCAGCAGTTCGCAAGCACCAAGGGAGAAAGTTGAGGTTTTCTACTCCTGCAGAGTTACATCTTCAGAAACCCCTGGGGCAGCTCTACTTCCTACAGGGCCCTAATGAGTCAGAATTGACCTGGAAGTGGTTTGCTAAATGAAAGCACTTAGCAATTTTTTTTAAAAGTCCCCACGGGGCCTGACCTAACAGCTACTGTGATTGATTGACTCTCTGATCCTCATTGTTCCTTCCTGGGGCACCAGCTTGATGACTGTTACCACGTCCCTGCAGTCCAGATACTGCACTCAGCTTGCACGGGCACACACACACACCCTGTTCACACAGGCTCATTAGCATCTGTTAAACTGGGTGTTAATGAGGCTCCTGCTGGCATCCCAGTGTAAGTGGTGGTGTTTGTCTTTCCTGAACCAACAGCCTTTTAGGAACCTTCTGCCTGCACCTTCCCTTTAAGCCCAAGAGCCCCTGCCTGCTCCTCTCCTGCTGCAGTAGCAGAAACACCACAGGGGGCCCTCTGACCTCTCTGGCGGTCACTTGCAGGAGGCTCAGGTCTCCCGGGGCTGGCCATGGAGGAAGGTCTTGGTCAGCATCTCCTTGGAGAGCTCCGTGTGTCTTGGCCTCCAGCTCTACTCCCCATGTCCAGGTCCAGGTGACGCCCTCCATTCCTGGCTCTTCTTTCTTGGAGGATGGAGGTGCCTCTCTTGCCACTATACATATACCCTTTGTTCCCTTGGGCTGTTAAGCACAGGGTCGGTAGTTCAAAACCACCAGCTACTCCATGGGAGAATATTGAGGCTTTCTACTCCCATGAAAAGTTACAGTTTTGGAACCCTACAGGAGCAGTTCTGTCCTGTCCTGTAGGGTCGCAATGAGTCAGCACTCACTCGATGGAGTTAACGCGAGTGAGTTGGTTTGGTTTAGTTTGTGTCGTTCTTGTGTAATTCACCCTGGGGACACTCCCCCTCACACTGCGTCAGGGCTGTGATGGCAGTAAGGGTCCTGCTTAGCATCTCCTGTCCTTTCATTGACTTTTCATGTCAGAGGGCATCATGGGGCATCTCATCATCCACAACTGCCAAACCACTGAGAACCATGGTCCTGCCAAGGGTCATGTACATTGGACACCACAGTTCAGCTCATGACAGTTCCTAGGTTAAGCATGTGGCGCCTCAGCCTTGTTCATTGTCATTGTCACTTAATGGATCTTTCTGGAATGCATCCTGGGAGCCAGGCACCCCACTACAGATCTGTCTCACAGAGATCGGTCGATTCTGACTCACAGTGACCCTGTAGGACAGAACAGAGCTGCGCTCTCGGGTTTCTTTCTGAAGGTCTGGGTCTTGATGGAAGTGTAGGGCAGATGTGGCGACAGAAAGAAAGAAAGAAGGCAAAGACAGAAAGCAGTTTCAAAGGTTTATTTCAGAGATCCCGAGTGAGGTTCAGGGGTCCCTAAATTGGGGTCCGAGAAGTCCCGCCTGGGAGGGAGGGGAGTACAGAGAAAGGGACGGGACCATCCTGGGGGCCAGAGAAGTCGTGCTGTCCAGACGAGAGGTGGAGAGTTTTATAGCCTGGGTCTGCGGGGAGGGAGTAGCTGGGGAATTTTCCACTGCAACTTTGTGGTCTGCAGATCTGGGACTGAGCAACAATGTTCAAAGTTCTCTGTAAAGGTCAGCCTTCTGCACTTGGGCTGGAAGGCCAGCGAAGGGGAGGGGGAGGCCTGGCCTCTCGCAGCATCCTTGAAGGGTTTGCACCAGCTCCGGGTATCTCTTCGTCCGCCTGCCCTGCTAACTCCTGCTTCTGCCTGACAGGAAGCAGACAGTGCTGCCTTTCTCCCTCGTAGTAGCTGGTGGGTTTAAACCACTGGCCTTGTAGTTAGCAGCCCCCTGCCTAACCCCCTGTGCCAGCAGGCCTCCAACAGAAAGAGGCCCTGAAAACAAGCCTTGGGGTCAAGCCTCTTGACTTGCGATTTCACTTCGGAGACATCCAGACAGAACAGCCAGTGTTAGGGCCATGCGCAGCCATGACAACTGCAGCCTAGCCTTGGAACCCGCCCCTGAGGTAGCTCACTTCCTGTGGGGCTGGCCTCAGTCCCGGGTCCTCTCCACCCAACACAACCCCGCCCAGTTACGACTCACAGCCACCCTGCAGGACAGATTCCAGCTGACTGAGCGCATCTGAGGCTGTCCATCTTTACACAAGTAGATAGCCTCATCTTTCTCCCACGGAGTAGCTGATGGGATTGAACCACCAACCTTGAGGAGGAGATTCCAGCTGACTGAGCGTATCTGAGGCTGTCCATCTTTACACAAGTAGACAGCCTCATC